CTCTCACTTGAGACGTTCTCACAATTTAACAGCTTTCAATTTTACAACTGTCAACAGCTTCCACGATAAAGGCCAGCGTTTGCTTGAGTTTTCGAGCTAACTCATCAGACTTACATGCCATGACCTTGAAGCTTGGGGTTCGCAAGAGCTGCACGAATGGAGGGCAGCCTGTCCTAGCACTCATTGTTATTGCTGCGACTTCCGTGCAACAAACAAGTCCTGAAGCTTGACGTGCGTAAAACTACTGGGGATGAGGGCGGGCGCTCCGTTTCAAAAACCAGCTCTCGCCTGGGACCTCGTTGCACTATGACTTTGGAGGCAGAGGAGGAGGCGGCAGAGGAGGAGGCAGATGAGGTTGAGGAGGAGGAGGAGGACATGTATGCCGAGGAGAGGAATAGAGGAGGAGGAGGAGGAAAAGGACATGGAGGAGGAGGATGACCAGTGTAAACCCAAGAATCATCAACGACGTTGGAACAAACCCTCCCTCCAAGCTCCCTCTGCATAGGCCCCTACCACAGTTCATTTCCCTGCCTCGTTGGAAGGCAACCGTTCGGAGACCCTGAAGCACGCCAACACATTGTTCTCGGGATTCCAGCGCCACGGATCAACCTGACTGCTGCGTCTTGACGATCGTGAATCGTGCCAGAACGCCATTCCTGGGAGTTCAGCACCGCGAATCAACGTAACTGTTGCACCCTCATAGTCCTGAATCTCTCCAGAACACCGTTTCTGGTACGTTGACCATGGGAATCCGTGAACCTCTTGCAGTTTCTTTTCAACGAATGTGCGTGGCGCGAAGGCGAGAGCCACATTTTGAAACGGAGCCGCCCTCAATCCAGGAAGGGCTTGCAAATTTTTGAAACGAATGTGCGCGGCGCGAAGGCGAGAGCCACATTTTTAAAACCACCCGCCCTCGATCCGTGAACCTCTTGCAATTTTTGAAACGAATGTGCGCGGCGCTAAGGCGAGAGCCGCATTTCAAAACCACCCGCCCTCAATCCGTGAAGCACTTTGCACATTTTTGAAACGAATGTGCGCGGTGCGAAGGCGAGAGCCACATATTGAAATGGAGCCGCCCCGAATCCAGGAAACTCTTGCAAATTTTTGAAACGAATGTGCGCGGCGCGAAGGCGAGAGCCACATTTTGAAAACCACCTGCCCTCGATCCGTGAACCTCTTGCAAATTTTGAAAACGAATGTGCGCGGCGCTAAGGCGAGAGCCGCATCTTGAAAACCACCCGCCCTCCATCCATGAAGCGCTTTGCAAATGTTTAAAATGAATGTGCGCGGCGCTAAGGCGACAATCATATGTTGAAGACGACCCGCCCTCAATCCGCGAAACTCTTGCAATGTTTAAACACATGTGCGCGGCGCTAAAAGCGAGAGCCACATTTTGAAAACCACCCGCCCTCGATCCGTGAACGTCTTGCATTTTTTAAACCAAATGTGCGCGGCGCTAAGGCGAGAGCCAAATTTTGAAAGCGACCCACCCTCCAAAACTGTTGCCAATGTTTAAGCTTCAGGGTCATATATGGTTAGGAAGTCTCAGGCCAAACGTCCGGTCCGCCAGAAAAGACAAGCCTCGGGGTGCGACAGGGAAAAGTTATTTATAAGGGAGAGATGGAGAAGAAGGAGGAAGAGGAGGAGGAGGAGCAGGAGGAGGAGGAGGAGGAGGAGGAGGAGGAGGAGATGGAGGAGGAGGAGGAGGAGAAGGAGGAGGAGGAGGATGAGGAGATGGAGGAGTGGAGATGGAGATGAGAGGAAAGAGGAGGAGGTGCAGGAGGAGGAGGAGGAGGAGATGGAGATGGAAATGGAGATGGAGATGGAGATGGAGATGGAGGAGGAGGAGGAGGAGGAGGAGGAGGAGTGGAGGAGGAAGATGGAGGAAGGAGGAAGGAGAGAGGAGGAGGAGGAGGAGGAGGAGAGGAAGGAGGAGGAGGAGGAGGAGGAGAGGGAGAGATGGAGATGGAGATGGAGATGGAGATGGAGATGGAGGAGGGAGGAGGAGAGGAGGAGGCTGGAGGGGATGGAGATGGAGATGGAGATGGAGATGGAGATGGGAGGAGGAGGAGGAGGAGGAGGAGGAGGAGGAGGAGGAGGAGGAGGAGGAGGAGCAGATGGAGGAGGAGGAGGAGGAGGAGGAGGAGGAGGAGGAGGAGAGGAGGAGATGGGAGTTGGACATGAGATGCAGATGGAGAGGAGGAGGAGGAGGAGGAGGAGGAGGAGGAGGAGGAGGAGGAGGAGTAGGAGGAGGAGGCGGAGGAGGAGGAGATGGGAGGAATTGGGATGGAGAGGGAGATGGAGGGGAGGACGAGGAGGAGGAGGCGGAAGGAGGGGAGGAGGAGGAGGAGGAGTAGGTAGGAGTAGGAGGAGGAGGACGAGGAGGAGGAGGAGGAGGCAGGGGGCAGGGGTGGGTGCGCCCGCAGGCACCTGGTGACCGCCTGGAGCGCGCGCTGCTGTCTGGGGGGGCCCGCCTCGCCGCCCCGGGCGACGGCTGCCCATGGTCGGCGGGGTGGGGGGAGCTGCAGGGCTCCCTGGGGCCCCGGGCGTTCGCCTCGGCCACGTGTTTGGCCGTACACCAGAAGCCCATGCCAAGAAACACCCTGCGTGCCCCCAGGGTGCCCATGGTTTCTTGGGTTTCGATGGTTTTGCTATGGGAAGTGTGAGGTTCCCACGCCAGGTATCCATGGACGTCCTGGGGTCTCAGGGTTGGGTTTCTCGTGGAAGGTTTCTTGTGGTCGAGCTCCTACCGCGCGTCGAGGCCACTGGGAGGTTCGTGTGCTGGACGCTTCCCAAGCCTCCCTCCTTGCTCCTCTCTCCTTGCCCTCCTCCTCTATCCTCGCTCTCAGGCTCCTCCCTTCTCGCTCCTCCGCGCTTCTTTCTCCTGGCCCTTCTCTCTTTCCTGTTGGCCGTTGATGTTCGCGCGACGACGTCCCGACGTAACTTCGACGTACATCCGACGTAACTCCGACGTGGATTCGATGCCACTTGGGTCTCAAGGTGCCGCGCGAGGCCTCGTCTCATCCCCCTCCGCCTCCGCGAGCGCCAGCAAGGCGTTTTCGGCCGTCGGGGGAAGTTGTCGATCCGCCGGGCCATCGAAAGCGGATCCAGGGCGAACGCCACTACTCCCTGGGAGTCGGTCGGGGACCTCTGGGGCCGCGGGTCTGAAACGTCACATCGTCGGATGTCAGGGGGGGGGGGATGCTGCGGCCGGCAGGCCGACGGCTGAGAGCATGAGCGAGGGCCATCGCAGTGGTCAGACCCAGACATCGGGTGTCTCGAAACAAATCGAGACGGATGTTTCTCGTCATTTGCAAACTCTCGGGGCCCTCGCTTGGCCTCGGGACCGTCAAGATCGACTCGGGATGAAAAACCAGTCCCGGGGAAGTGATCGGGAGGTCGGGAGCCCGCGTCTCGAAAACATCGAGACGTCGGATTTCTGGGGAGGGGGAAACAGAGAGAAGGCCCCCCCTGGCCCCCGGGTGGGTTCTCGGTGGCAGTGGTCTCAACACGAGGCGCGTGCCACCGCCCAGCGGCGTGGCGGAGCTCCCATGCGGGGCCCCCCCAGCGGTTCTCGGTGGCGAAGCTCCCACGCTTCCCCTGGGCGGAGGCACGCCTCAGCGTCGTCGGGCGTTGGGCGACGCTCGTGCGTGCCACCGCCCAGGGGGCGCCGCGGGACGTCTCGCGATGGCGAGCAGCGGCGGGCCCTGGGGGGCGGAGGCTGAGGTGCCAGGCGGCAGGGGGAGGGAGGGGGGGCGGGCGGCGCACAGGCGGCCTCCCCAGCAGCAGCCATCGAGGCCCGAGGGCCGCTCGAGGGTCGAGCGTTTTTTTCTCGGCTCTCCCTCTCTCTCTCTCTCTCTTTCTGTTTGGGTCTTCGTTTTGGATGGAGCGCTGTTCGCGCGTCCTACCCCCGCCTCCTCATTGGCTCTTCCCCCCCGCTCACCCCTGCATCCCTCTGCTCCCCCTCCCTTCTCCCTGCCTTTCCCCGCTCCCTCTCGCGCTCCCTAGGGGGCTACCACCTGCGCAACTGTTGTCGCTTTCAGGGGCTCCGGTGGGGGCCAGCGGAGCGGTGTCCTACGCGCATTCAGACGGGACCTCGCAGCTCCCTGGGGGGCTGCCACCTGCCCCACTAGCGCAACTTTCGTGGGCTCCTGTGTGGTGCAGCCGGCACGACCCACGCGCATGCAGACGAGACCGCGCAACGCGGTGTCCTACGCGCATCCAGGGGAGACCTCGCGGCTCCCTGGGGGGCTGCGACTGGTGCAACTGCCACCACTTTCATGGGCTCCTGAGAGGCACGTTCAGACGAAGTTTCGTGGACGCCCTGGGGGCTGCCACCTATGCACCTGTCGCCGCTTTCGTGGGCTCTTGGGAGGGCCAGCGGAGCGGTGTCCTACGCGCATCCAGGGGAGAATGCGCATTTCCCTTGGGAGCTGCCACCTGCGCAGTTGTCGCCACTTTCGTGGGCTCCTGGGAGGCCCAGCGGAGTGGCGCCTCACACGCACCCAAGCGAGATCTAGCGGCTCCCTGGGGGGCTGCTACTTGGGCGAATGTCGCCTTTTTCGTGGGCTCCTTTGGGGTCGAGTGGAGCGACGCCACACGCGGACCCAGACGAAACCTCGCGGCTCCCTGGCAGTTTTCGCCACTTTCGCGGGTTGCTTGGATGGCCAGTAAGGCGATTTCCTACGCGTACCCCAACGAGACCTCGCGGCTTGTGAGGGGCTTGCCAGCTGAGCAACTGTCGCCACTTTCGTGGGCTCCTGGCAGGTCAGCGGAGCAACGTCTTACGCGCATTCAGACGAGACTTCGCAGCTCCCTGGGTGGCTGCCACCAGTGCAATTGTTGGCATTTTTTGGGGCGCCGTCTTACGCACATCCAGCCGGGACGCAGCTGGTGGCTGTCCGGTGTTGTTGCTTGGCCTTGCCTAGCACGCAACCTCCTTCCTTCTTTTGGTTTGTCCTTTCGTCTTTCTCCCTATGTATCCTATTTCGTGGCAAGCTACTATGTCAGCCCCGTGAGGCGTGCAACACGTAGGCCTTCCATGCAGCTTGCACGGAGGGTCGCGTTCTTTGTCGTATCACCATTCGTTTGGGATGGGCCCTCTGCTGCTGGCAATTTATCAGGATGGTTTGGGTACGTCGTCGGGTAATTGCTTCTTGCTTTGTTGCCTCCATAGACCTCAGGAGGTCTCGACAGGCCCCCCAGGTTAGCACGGGGCGATCTCAAGACCGCCGCGCCGCAGGTTTGGGGTGTTGAGACCGTCACAGGCTGCCCTGCGGGCCTGTTGAGGCAGTCCATCCCTTCCTCCCCTTCTCCCCCTCCTCCTCCTCCTCCTCCTCCTCCTCCTCCTCCTCCTCCTCTTCCTCCTCTTCATCCCTCCCAACCTTCCTCCCTCCCTTCTCCTCTCTCCTTCCTCATCCTCACTTCTGCTCACTCCTCCTTAATCTTCCTCACTCCTCATTCCTCACCCCTCACTCCTCACCCCCTTGCCCCTCACACCTCTTCTGTCCGTCTCCCTCCACCATCGATCCTTACTATCCGTCCCCCTCCCTCCTCTCTCCGCTGCTGCTCATTCTTGCCCTCTTTCTCCTCCTCATCCGTTCGCCCCTCCCCACTCCACCCTTCTGTCTCTTCCACCTCCTCCCCCTCCGTCACTCCCTCAGCTCCAAAAGCGCCTCCTCATCGTCCTTCTCGTCCTCGTCCTCGTCCTCGTCCTTTTCCCCTTTGTCGTCGTCGTCGTCCTCCTCCTCCTCGTCCTCCCGGTACTCCCCTGCTGCCTCCACCCTTCTTCCTCTTCGTCGTCGTTGTGGTGGTCGTCGTCGTCGTCGATTCCTCCTCCTCCTCCTCCTCCCGGAGGAGGGGGAGGAGGAAGAGGAGGAGGGGGAGGAGGAGGAAGAGGAGGAGGAGGAGGAGGAGGAGAGGAGGAGGAGGAGGAGGAGGAGGAGGAGGAGGAGGAGGAGGAGGAGGTTGTGGTGGTCCTCCTGCCGTCCCTCCTCCTGGCGGGGTCGGCCAGGGGCCGCGCTCGTACTCGCCCACGCTGTTCTTCTTTGGGGGCGGCGAGCCGTACGACACGATCACGGAGTGCAACGCGCACTGCGGGAAGGAGCCGTGGAAGGATACCGCCGGGCTGGGCGTGCCGTGCCAGGAGAAGGATAGTAGGAGGAGTAGGAGGGTGAAAAGGAAAAGGGCGAGGACGAGGAGGAGGAGGAGGAGGAGGAGGAGGAGGAGGAGGAGAAAAGGAAGGAGGAAAGGACGGAAGGAAGGCGGGAAGGAAGGAAGGAGAGAAGGACGGAAGGAAGGAAAAAAGGAAGGAAGGGAGGGAGGGAGGGAGGAAGGAAGGGAGGAAGGAAGGAAGGAAAGGAGGGAGGATGAGGAGCAGGGGCAGGAGCACGAGCAGGAGGAGGAGGAGGAGGAGGAGGAGGAGGAGGAGGAGGAGGAGGAGGAGGAGGATGACCTTTTTTTTCCCAACCCTCCTTGGTTGGGTATTCGTTTTGAATGGAGCACTGTGGTCGCGTCCATCTCCTTCTTCTCCCGCCTCCCGTCTCCCGCTTCCGTCTTGTCTCCTCTTGTCTTGTGCGTACCTCGTGTGTGTGTGTGAGAGAGAGACACTGTCGCCACTTTCGAGGGCTGCTGGTGGTTCCTGCGGGCTGGGGCACCGCGGGGATCTGAGCGAGACCTCGCCGTCCCTGGGGGGCTGCGATCTGCGACACGGCCGCCACTTTCGAGGGCTGCTGGCGGGTCCAGCGGAGTGGGGCACCGCGGGGATCTGAGCGAGACCTCGCCGTCCCTGGGGGGCTGCGATCTGCGACACTGTCGCCACTTTCGAGGGCTGCTGGTGGGTTCTGCGGACCGGGGCACCGCGGGGATCTGACCTCGCCGTCCCTGGGGGGCTACGATCTGAGACACTGTCGCCACTTTCGAGGGCTGCTGGTGGGTTCTGCGGACTGGGGCACCGCGGGGATCTGAGCGAGACCTCGCCGTCCCTGGGGGGCTGCGATCTGAGACACTGTCGCCACTTTCGAGGGCTGCTGGCGGGTCCAGCGGAGTGGGGCACCGCGGGGATCTGAGCGAGACCTCGCCGTCCCTGGGGGGCTGCGATCTGCGACACTGTCGCCACTTTTGAGGGCTGCTGGCGGGTCCAGCGGAGTGAGGCACCGCGGGGACCTGAGCGAGACCTCGCCGTCCCTGGGGGGCTGCGATCTGCGACACTACGACGCCCTTATATCTTGATCGCGGGCCTGCGGGCCTTCTGATTGCTGCTCGCAAAACCACGTGCGTCCATGTTACGTCATCGCCCCCGTTGTAGCAATCCTGATGTACTTATGCCCCGCATTGCGCAAGGGTTGGGTACGTCGCCAGGGTAATTGATATTCGCTTCGGGGTGAATCTAAGCACGGCGAGCTGAATGAGCCCAACAACCGTCCTTCGAGAGAAACTGGAAGCGCAGCCGGTGCAAATTCGGCTCCACCGAAACTGCCCCAGAGGGGCGAAGGAGGGGGAGGGAGGGAGGGAGGGAGGGAGGGAGGGAAGGGGAACAGGAGGAGGATGCAGAGGAGGAGGAAGAGGAGGAGGATGATGATGAGGAGGAGGAGGAGGATTTTTTTGATTTGCGCGCGGGTGATCGTCTGCCGAACACTCCTGCCCGTGGCGCCGAAACGACGAGCGAGGGGCCCGAAGAAGGGCCGAAAGAAGCGAGGGACGGACCAGGACCCGAACAGAGCCGAGCGAGGGACCGACCCGAGCAAACAGGGACAACGAAAAAAAACGATGGCCCGAAACACGCGATGCTGGCAAGACTGGTGAGACAATTTGAAGCCCGCGTCCTGGCTCCTGGGCTTCAGCCTCAACCTTCCAGGCAGCACATTATACAACAGACCAGCAAGGCGGCGGAGAGCCCTTCCTCTCTTCGCGAGCCTGGGCTGGGGGGGGGGCAAAAGGAGCACATAAAGGATGAGTGGGCGCAGGCGGTACGGGTGCCTGCTTCTCAGCGCCTCTGTACCCACTCATCCTAAACCTAGCCTATGTCCGACTGTCCGACAGTAGAGAGAAAGCATAGACAGAGAGGCATGCACAGAAAAACCCCAAGCGGCGGGCGGGCAAGAGTCTTCTCTCTTTGCGAGCCTGGCCAGGGGAGGAATGACAAGAGCACAGAAGGGATAAGTGGGCGCAGGCGGAACGGGTGCCTGCTTCGCAGCGCCTCTGTACCCACTTATCCCAAGCCTACCCTACTGTCCGACTGTCCAACTGTAAGAGAGAAAGCACAGACAGAGAGGCGTGCACAAAATCCCCAAGCGGCGGGCGGGCAAGAGTCTTCTCTCTTTGCGAGCCTGGCCAGGGGAGGAATGACAAGAGCACAGAAGGGATAAGTGGGCGCAGGCGGAACGGGTGCCTGCTTCTCAGCGCCTCTGTACCCACTTATCCCAATCCTACCCTACTGTCCGACTGTCCAACTGTAAGAGAGAAAGCACAGACAGAGAGGCGTGCAAAGAGGCGTGCAAAATCCCCGCGCGGCGGGCAGGCGAGAGTCTTCTCTCTTTGCGAGCCTGGCCAGGGGATGGATGGCAAGAGCACAGACGGGATAAGTGGGCGCAGGCGGAACGGGTGCCTGCTTCTCAGCGCGTCTGTACCCACTTATCCCAAGCCTACCCTACTTCCTGGAAGCTGCCCTCTGTAGCGGCCAGGAAAGGGAGTACTGCAGAACAACACTTCTGGCGGCTGGTGTCGGGGATCCGAGTAGTCCTGCCAGCATCAGACAGACGAGACAAACCAGATAACCCAGGATACATCCACCCCTCCTCCGAAGCCCGAGAAGTCTACGGAGCCTCTACAAGCCATGCAGGATCAAACAATGCCTGAAAATTAAAGACATCGTGAGGGGCAGGAACAGCATATATAACGTTGACGTTGTCAACCGCAGTTGCCTCACCGACTGGTTGATCAGTGCGGGGGTCACGACCATCGCACATGCGCCGAAGCCGTGAGATGGTGCCAGAGGCCCGAGGGGGCCCAGTGCATGATTTAATTAAATCAACTGCCTTCTTGCAAGAGTAGCGGCCGCATCGTCGACAAACTATGATATTATTTAGCCGCCTGAGCACGTGCCCACCACCAGTGGGAGAAGAGCACTGCGAACGCAATAAGTAGCTCTTGGAGACTGAGCTAGCCCAACAATTCACACAACTAAAACGACCCGCTGAGGGGTCCCAGAAGTGCTCATGCAAGGCCCCAGAGGAGGCACCAGAGAGGACTAGGGATGGGGCCGTGGGGGCAGGGGGCTCATCAGAATCCGCCGCCCAGACCTTTTTGGGCACGTTCTTGAACATCCATGCTATACAGTGACCGATATACACACCAAGATTGCGCACCATCACACCAGAGCGCTTGATACGGTCGTGCAGTACCGTGTCCAGAGTGTGTAGGTCTGCACCTAGGTTAGCAAGTCTGTCGGCTTGCTTATTACCCACAGAGGAAGAGCGGCCACGAACCTTGGTGACCTTAATTAGGTGATACCCGATATCTGAAGCCGCACGGTGGACACGGACCCACAGGGATGCGTGAGTGGCCCATCCGTGCGTGGTAGCTTCATACCCCATTGCCCAACCGTCGACGACATACTGGGCATCAGTGGCAAACTCATAGCAGTCGGAGGGGGCAGCATGGGTTAGATAAAACAAAAACGCGTAGAGCTCAGCCCCTGAAACATCCTGGGTGAGAAATGGATATGCGCCATAGGCACCAGCACTAAGCCGAAGCCGATCATTGGCGACGGGCCCTCCAAAAACATTTCGACTACGCGGATCAAATGAGCAAACACCCCATCCACAGCGGAGAGTGAGCGGCGAGGGACCATGCTTTCCCGAGCCGTCTCCGTACGCAGGCGACGAGAAAAAGGGGCCATCTGTGGCCCCTTCCCAGACAGGGTCTGAGAAAGGTGGTGCCAGCAGGGAGCAATCGCGCGGGTCGGGAACCATGGCAGTGGTCCAGACAGGGTTGTCGCGGTGCTGCTCTATGCAACGGGTGAGGGCAGGAGTCGGGCCGAACCAACGACGAAACTCCACAAGCCCATCACGCTCATACAGGGTGTGAAACACGGGGTCAGAAACCTGGCAAATGGGGCACACAGGTTTAAAGTATATGCCCCCAGATATAAAAGTCCTCAGAGCACGTTGCTGGAGGACACCCCATCCTTCAGTTGTTTTAGACAACAAAGAAAGAAGAGGTGGGGGAAAGGGGGGTCCAGACAGATGACTGAAGGATGGGTGACGCTCAGAGGCCTGTTTCCAAGCCCAAACAGACGCGTCGCGAATCACTAGTGCAACCACCTCACGAGGGGAAGTAGACGAAATATCAACCTCCGTTCCAAGAGAAGTTCGCCATAATGTGGGCGAAACCGCAGACCACCCAATTCTACGCATAGTGGCAACCAAAATCTGTCCTGGGCCCTGTAATTCAGTCCACGGGGTATCTGGCGTCACCTTGGCGTAGGCAAACTGGAAAACTTGGTCTATCATTCCGACGGGAAGAAGAGAGTCCCATCTAGAGACGGTCCAGAGGCGAATAACATCAGCATGTGCGTCAATAGCAGGGTCGGTAACACCGTGCAACGCCACATCCATCGTGACAGACCTACGCTTACCTGTGCCGAGACCAGCGTGGTATATAGCACGAACCTGACGAATCTGATGAGTAGATAGACCGACGACATCAATGCCGTACATGACAGTGGGCCGCAAGTTAGTGTTAACAATACCTGCAACCTTTGCACCAGCCTTCTTTATCTTCAGTAGGCGTCGGGCCTTAAACCTGGCCTTTTTTTAATCGACCAGTGAGAACGGTACGAGAACGACGCCCCTGACGTAACTGGTAGTCAATCCCGAGGTTGCGACACGAGAACTTGACTGCACCAGCGAGACGTGGAGTTTCAGCTGCGATGTTCTGGGCCAACTGGGGGTCGGTAGCCAAGAGCGCGATTTTCTTTTCGGAGAGCGGTAATCATGCCGAGAAAGTCAGCTTGCTCATCAAAAGATGCGACGCATCGGGACCGATTTTGAGCAACTCCCTCTCCGAGCCTATCCCCAGGACCTGGGCGTCGTCGGCGACGAGGCCGAGGTGCATATTAGG